GCTGTATTTTTGCTAAGAACAGCCCCTGTAGAGTTGAACCACTGAGACTCTTCTTTCTGTCACCCCCTTTTGTTTCGACACCGGCAGTGCTCTGTGGCACCCCCCCTTGTTGCAGCGCGAGAGAAACGGAGACTGGAAACGAGGCTCTGCTAGCCCTGCAGTACCCGCGGATGATGCAGCGCACCCAGAGCCCGGCATTGCATCCGGGGCTCATCGGAACCCGCCACCGCCGGAAGTGGACCAAGTGTCACAACACGACGGGGCCCAGGCGCCACTCACCCTCGGACTCAGGCAGGGACCCCAGCGCTGTCACCCGGATGGGGCGGTAAGGTTTTCCCGGAAGCTCCACGCTCTCCTCGGAGGACACGGTGACATCAGCCTGGGCCTCGGAGATGGAGGACAGGAACTGGTCCATGTCTGTTCTCTGCTCCTGCAGCAGCTCGTCTGAGGGGGTGAGGCGGGTGGATTGGGACATGTGCAGACACAGAAAGGCTCCATGACAGAGGCACAGGCAGAGACTGGTATATCCTTGTCCCAGACCCCCAGTCCACTCCATGTATAGTGACAAACCCCCCCACACAGCCGGGCAGACACAATGAACCCCACCCAGACACAAAGACCAACACTGACGCAGATGTGTGCAGAGAGGCAGAGAAAGGGAAGCAACTAAATGCACACAAACCCACAAGCAAACAGAAAGCAAATGGGAGAAGCTTGTTTTGTGAGGAATCACTACCCAATTAGCAAAAGCTGTACTAAGATCCTCTCTGATCTTTGCCCAGATGGTATATATCTGAGGACAGCTCTTATTATTTCCGATCTGCTGAGCGGCCAGATGAGAAACACTCCTGTCCCCATTCAGTCACTCTGTCACAGAGTCACGTGCGCTGCAGTCAGCAGGAACTCGCAACAGAGCTCCGTGTCCTGTTTGTCTTCCCTGCCAGTCCCGCGCGGAGTCTGGGGGGCGAGCCTGCTGTCAGGATCTGATTTATTTCTTCTGTTTCCTTTCCCTCCTGCTTTTTTTAGTTGAAGGGGATCATAAAATTGACAACACGCGAAGGAGGATTACAGCCCAAATACGCCAACACTAATCCAAATCAGTGCATCTGAGCTGCAATTTTAAATTCAACTCAAATTCTATTTATGATTGTGTGTTTCAGATTCTAACCAACACAACGTTTGCCAGTCTTTTGCAGTGGGCACATCTTCCTCACTACCTCCAGATCTGTCATCGACTGAGCTTGGCAGCCAAAAAGTACATTTGTTTTATGCAGAAATATGGGTTATTTATATTTAAATTAGTTTTAGACTCATTTATATCCACGTAGAACTGGAAGCACTACACTTCCGCAAAGTGTGTTTGAGGGCTTCATATTCTTAAAAAATGGCTGCAGCTCTACACATCGACCAACACGCATACAATAGGTCCTGTCTTTACAAGCAATTCCTACTGACTCTGGTTACATTTTAATCAACACAACATTAGGGAGTTAAAAGCAACACTTCCTGTAATCCTATTCAAGTTCATTGTAACCCGTGAACTGAAATCTCAACACGTAACACATGGATTAAATTTAGTGTGAAAGTATGCAGAGGCGTGTGTGGTGAATACTTCTTCTGACGCGTGCACCTCTGGGAGGGAGTGCGCAGGAGTGCTGAGGGCTCTGGACTCTAGACCCACAGGCTGTGGGTTCAGACCCCGGCGGGGACAGTCCTGCTACACCTAAGCTAATGTTCCAACCAGCTCCAGCACACCCAGCTGCGTTAACAGGTGCTCCTCGCTCAAGGTTGTTTAGACAAATGTAATTATGTCACAAAAAATCATAAATTGTATAAATTAAAAATAAATAAGTTGATTTTTTCCAGAGTGTTGTTGGATTCACACTAGAAACGGGGCATCCTCAGACCACATAATGTAGACAAAGGCAGAACAAAGTGTTATCCCTATAAGTAATTACAAACCTGTTCACCTCACCTGGGACTGATCAGCATTTCTCTCTTTGTCCCCAGTTTTCAGCATCAAAACTGCCCCCCCCTCTAACACCCGCGCATCCACTGGGGCTCAGAGAAACGCTGACACTCGCAGCCACCTTCGCAGAGCTACAGCTGAGCGACAGCCGAGGGGCTAGGAGAGAAAACACCCAGCTGTTCGCAGGAGCGGAGCGGTGTCCATGTCCGTCAGAGGCTGATGGACAGAAGCCCAGAGCTGCACTACTGCACCTCCCCAGGACTGGCAGACAGGTCTGACCCTGCAGCTGCACCCCAGGACTCGCTTGGCCGGCTCAAGTCCGCCGAGACTCACCGATCTCATCCTGGATCTCCTCGGCCACGTAGGGCACCTTGTAGAGCAGAGACAGGCTCTGGTTCATCCGCTCCTCGATCACACGCAGGTGGGTCATTACCTGAGGCCGGACACAGGAAGGGAGAAAAATGTGTGAGCCCATAACCCCACAGCTCACTCAGAGGGTCTGTAGGCCGCCAAGACCCCACAGCTGGCAAGGGCACTGTATCGTCTGCCACCATCGGAAGGTGAAACGTGCAGCAGATGCACCAGTCTTGACAGATTCACACATAACCAGGTCCACTCCTATACCATCACATAACGTACTACAGGCTGTATGGCTAAAAGACACAAGTCACCTTCCCTTGTATGATAATAGAGAACTAGTGCATTGACTTCAATTTAATGAAAATAACTGAATTTAAATAACATTCATATTTGAGAAGAGGCCTGAGAATGACAGCCCTGCGAACTGCAGCCCAGCTGTCTTCAAGCGAGCTCCCTCTCCAGGCACAGCGGCAGCACACTGTGTCGTTCATGTCTCTCCGGACGTAGTGGAGCTCAGATTACATGACTTTAATACTGTGCTTGCACATAACTGTCTAAACAGCGCCTATCGCAGAACACACCTTGCAGACTTACGGGTGAGGAACAGCTGAGATCCTGGGATCTTTGCGTTAATATATGGCTGAATGCACAAAGCACCACCAGGCTTTGGATTCCTTGTATTCTGGGGAAGGAAGCACCATAGGAACTTCAGAGGAAGGAACTGTTTCCTGGAGTTTTTAAAAACCCTACTTGGGTGTTTACGCTCCCTAGCATGGTTTTAATCTGGAATGAAATGACTGATGTCCCACAGAGTGTTCCATTCCCAGGACATGGGAGAGTCCGGAAAAAAGTTTAATGAAGATGCTGAAATAAAAGATGAGGCTATGGCAGCGTTGGATCAGAAACAGACTGGAGCCAAGATCCACTCCGGAGTGGAGATTTTGTCTGACCTGGGACTTCATCTGAGCTGCCTTCTCCGGGTCCACAGCCAGGACGTGCTGGTAGTGCCGGACGGTGTGCTGGCGGTCCTTGTTCTCCGCTCGGACATAGCGCTTCAGGGCCTGGAGGATACGGTGAGGCTGCAGGAGAGGTGAGAGGAGTGTGAGAGACAACACATAGGAACACCCTGACAAAGTACTGGCCTGGTGACCACAGACTGGACCTAGGAACAGGACACAGGCAAGCCTGCATATCTAGAGTATAGGCTCAGTGACCTTACTGTGGACAGAGAAACTGGACACAGGCAGACCTGGTTGTCCAGAGAGGACGGGGTTAGACATCACAGTCTATATAGAAACTGGACAGAGGCAGACCTGGCTGTCCAGAGAGGACAGGCTCAGTGGCCACAGACTGGACCTAGGAACAGGACACAGGCAGACCTGGACGTCCACAGCGGATAGACTTAGTGACCACAATCTGTATATAAAAAATGGGACATAGACAGACCTGGCTATATAGAGTACAAGCTCACTGGCCACAGTCTGGACATAGAACCTCAGTCAGTGTATAGAAACGGAGGCAGATCAGGCTTTCCAGAGAGGACAGGCTCAGTAACCACAGCCAGTATATCAATATTGGACACGGACAGATCTGGCTGTCCAGGCTTAGAGACCACAGTCTGCGTATTGAAACTGGACACTGGCAGACCAGGCTGTCCAGAGAGGACTGGCTCAGTGACCACAGCCTGACCTTAGAAAATGGACACAGGTAGACCTTGCTGTCCAGAGACGACGGGCTTAGTGACCTCAGTCAGTGTATAGAAACAGAGGCAGACCAGGCTTTCCAGAGAGGACAGGCTCAGTGACCACAGATTGGACATAGAAATTGGACACAGGCAGATCTGGATGTCCAGAGAGGACATGCTCAGTAGCCACTGACTGGACATACAAAGTGGACAGAGGTAGACCTGGCTTTCCAGAGAGGACAGTCTCATTGACCATAGCCTGGCCATAGAAACTGGACACAGACAGACTTTTGGCTGTCCCAAGAGTACAGACTTGGTGACTACAGACTGGACATAGAAACTGGAGATGGGCACACCTCTCTGTCCACAGAGAACAGACTCAGTCATCACAATGTGGACATAGGAACTTGACACGGGCAGACCTGGCTGTCCAGAGAGGACAGTCTCAGTGAGCATAGACAGGACACAGGTAGACCTAAGTGTCCAGAGAGGACTGGCTCAGTTATCACAGCTTGGACAGCCTGACCATAGTGGTGGACACCAGTAGATCTGGCTGTCCAGAGAGGTCAGGTGTAGTGATAACAGACAGGCAGGCCTGGCTATCTGGTGTTCAGATGGCCATAGACTGGACATAGAAGCTGGAAACAGATGGACCTCAGTGTCCGGAGAGTTCAGTCTCATTGATAACAGACTGGTCATTGAAACTAGATACAGGCAGACCAGATTCTCCAGAGAGGACAGACTGGTCATAGAAACAGGTGAGAGACGTGGGCTGAGTGCACCTTAGAGACACATAGTAGGATTGTGAAGTTAACAGAGAAAAATATTAGAATTACAATAACTGTTTATATACGTAAAGATATTACACAAACACATATCTGACTTCCAACAGCCTGTCACTTATTTAGCAGTTCTCACAAGCCAACTCCGGCCTACCCCCAGATGTTTCAGCACCAACTGTTCAGAGGAGGTTGCTATAAAACTGGCTTACCAGGAAGAATTGCTGCAAAAAACCAACAGGGCAGAATAAGAGGAAGAGACTTGCCTGGGCCAAAAGACACAGAAACTGGACCTTTGAGGCCAGCTTCACACAACCTCCTCTGGAACAGTTGATGTTGAAGCATCTGTACTTCTAGTTGCATTGAGTTCAGCTTGTATTTCAGGGGCAGTTAGTCACCAGATTCCCAGACTTGTGACTCTAACGTATTCTCGGATTCCGAGGTCACCTTTGGCCTGCCTGACCCTTTTTGGTCCTCATGTGTGCCAGTTTCTTCATATCGTTTATAGTCTTGGCAACAGCAGTTACTGACACTTGCAAAGTTCTTGCAATTTGTCTTAAAATTAACCTTCATTTCTTAAAGTAATTATAGACGGTCTTTTTTCCTTGCTTTCTGAGCAAATTATGCCATGCTCATTCAGGAATTACAAACTTTTGCCCATGCTCCCTATATTTATAGTCATTATGGACCCTCATCTGTTTACCAATAATTGGTGACAAAAGGTAAATGAGGTAACATGCTAGTTAACTGTGAGAACATCCAACAAAGACTATTTTAAATTTCTTTCAGTGTTCCAACACCATGTTATACACATTTCTGACTTTTAACTAACCTCAGCTTCAGACTTAAATCTGCTTGCTTTGGTTGTTCATTTTACTGAAAATGAAAAATGAACGTTTTCAACGCACTTCACTTAAGATTCTAAGTACACAAATCATGTAATTAAACTTTAAGTGTTTATAGACAAATTTATACAGTTTAAAGCACAGATAAGCATGAAAAACCTGGTTTCAAGCAGGTGTACTAAAACGTTTGACTGGTACCGTATGTAAGTGTAGACCTCAGACACGTGAGGGTTGTTCATGTTTAAAAACGGTAAGAACCTGAGACAGAGAATAGAAGACGCGATTACTTCAATTAGCTGCAAGAGCTCCATCAGAGGAGCTTGCACAATAAAGCACTGGGCATGCAGTGCCATTCTGAGCTAGCGAAGACGCCTGATGGCCGGGCACTCTCATTTCACTGGTCTGGGGGGAGTAGCTGGTGCCTCTTGATTCATTACTGTGTGAGGAATGTCGCCTGTGCTGTCGAGCCTGGAGAGAACAGCTCCCAGCAAACTGACACCTGTGACAGCTCAGTAAATTGCCATACAAGGCCTGTTCATTGCAGATGTGTCAGTGTGACAGTGTGATTAGGGGGAGGGCAGCCAGCAGATGACCTGGTATTCCCTCTGGGGCACTGATGGTAACACCGCCTGCAGGCCCAGGTTCTGCCTGTGACGTGTCTGTCCAGGGCAGCACGGTCCCCTGAGCCTCGAGGGTGCCATGGGGGAGAGACAGAGAGGGGTCCCTTGAGTGTACTGCATTGCCCCTGATAAGGACTTAGGCCGTGTCCCAATTCACTTCTTTTTTATTTAGTAGCCAAGTGCACGTCTGCAGATAACGTTTTTTAAAGAATTTTGTTCTCCGCTCTGAGTTTGAATGTCATCTCGTCTGTCCCTGCACACAAGTACGCATCATGCTCATTCATGTTGAGCTGCTGGACTCGAAATGGGCGAAGTAAACGAAGAAAAACTTGGCAATACCACTCTATTTACTCAAAGCTTTGTACTATTAAAAACATTTCATCTCGACTGTCCCAGTACAAAACTGACAGTGCGAGAAACATAACGGGTTCATCCATGTTAATCGGGATTGATTCAAAGGGGTTGAAGTAAAGTAAGGTAAACCTGGCAATACAACGTTGCTTTGTACTATTAAAAACGTAATACAAAATACACTGCAGACTAACGAATATTCATCAGTCGAACTGGTGTGTCTACCTTTATGTCAACACTTTGTACCTGGAACACATATGAATCTAAAGTAGCCTAATGAAATTTTTTACATGAACAACATTTTAGCAATTTTAAAAGTTTCAATGCTGTAAAAAAGTTGATATTTTACTAACACATGCATATTTTATTCTCTTCGCTTTGCTAGGTGAGAACATAGAGCTTCTCTGTTCGGCGAGGAATTGGGGGCGATTTCCCTCGGCGAAGTCGGCTCCGATGCGTACTTCACAAATTAGAAATGGGACGCGCTGAGCCTTCGCAGACCCGAGTGGGACCACGCATATGCAGGGCACGAAACCGCAAGTGTGCACATTGAGAGACGGCCCTGGTCTCCCCGAGACACCGGTCAGTCAGCCTGTTGTCAGGCGCTTGACAGAACAGCAGTGCCTGCCTCTGCTTTGGTCCTCGGTCTGGATGGATTGCCATGTCAGCTGCCACCCCAGTGAGCTGGCGTGTTGGTGCCGCCTCGGGGAGCGGTCTCGTCAGCGTGACGGAGCCTCACCCTGGGGGGGTCAGCTTGCAGGGCGGCCAGGTAATTCTCCAGGGCCAGGCGGCGGCGGTCGTTCAGCATGGCCTCCACACGCGCCAGGTGAGTCTCTACCAGCTGCTGCTTCTCACTGGCCGCCTCCTCCTCCAGAGACTCCACCATGGCCTGGAAGTGCTGAGAGAGAGGAGGGGGGTAGACAGGCGGGGGGTTACACAGAACAGGTATCTGGACAGCAGAGGACACACACTGCTGCCAGTGTGAAGCTGAAGAGGTGCCCAAAGAGAGCGATGCACACACCTGGATAAGCGTTTGTCTCTCAGCCTTGGGCAGGTTCTTGGCCTGGCGCTCGGCCTCCTCCCACTCCTTCCGGACCTGCAGAGCAAGCGAGAGAGGAAGGCACGGATTGAGGAGCCCTTCATTCCCGCTTGTGCCCCAGCCCGCTCCCTCGTGCTGCCGCTCACCCTCTCCATGCGGTGCCTGTGCCGGATCTCCAGCTGCTCCTTGGCTCTTTGGAAGCGGCTGTGCTCCTTGTCGTCGGCAGGCGTCTCGAAGTACACGTCCACGTCGTCAGTGGGCTGGGGGGTGGGTGGGACTGCCGGACAGACGCAGGGAGAAGGGATGGTCAGACAGGCAGTGGCTAGGCTCTGTGGCAGCCACACAGGCCTTCACAGCCAGATAATTAATTCAAGCTTCATTAATACAGTTGACAGTAGCACTCACAGAGGGAGTCAGGCACAAGTAAAGTCCGCAAAGCCAACACAGACAAAAGAACAGAAATAAATTAATATTCCCTGTGTTTCATGATATTCGAAACCTGGAGCCACGGCTGCTTCAGCCGGGATTGTCCACAGGAGATTGGCTGTGCCGAGATTCCAGAATCAGGCTCAAGGAGCCGGCTGGAATTCTAGCTGGGAAAGCCAGGCCTGTGTATTGCAATCTACGACTCTTCCCGAGTTACACATCTGTCCAGTAAGACACAGGAGAACTATTAAGGCCCAGCAACCACCTGACACCAGGGGTCTGACAGCTCTCAACAAAGGCAAGTAAATGTTCTTCTGGACCAGCCGCAAGACTGCAACATGGCCTCCTCTGAGTCAGTCAGAATCCGGCAGCAGTTATCCAGCAAGAGGGAAATCTCCGATCATCTCTGATCATTACTGAAGCTCAGAGATGCTGCTGATCCAGTGATTCACCCACAGAAGTGTGTCCCCTTGTGACAGATCTTTCTTTTTGTCCATCCTGCATGTGTGCCCCCAATTACAGGTTATGGTGAGTTTGCGCAAGGAAACCACATTTTCTTTAAATCACAGGAGTGACAAGCTGACAGATGCGGCCAACGCACTAACAGTCTTCGGAGAGAAAGCTGCTCTCGAAGATGTATCAAGTGAAGCACAAACGAGGACACTGACGCGTCACACGGCGGACAGACAGGGTGAGGGCCGGACGGCAGGAGGAAGGTGGGCACACGGGGGAGTGCAGCCAGCAGCCAGCTGAGCCACAGCGAGAGGAAGAGTGAGAGAGCGGGAGTGTGCAAGAGTGTGCAGGTGTGAGAGAGCGGGAGTGTGCAAGTGTGAGAGAGAGCGGGAGTGTGCAAGAGTGAGAGAGCGGGAGTGTGCAAGTGTGAGAGAGCGGGAGTGTGCAAGAGTGTGCAGGTGAGAGAGAGCGGGAGTGTGCAAGAGTGTGCAAGTGTGAGAGAGCGGGAGTGTGCATGAAAGGGGAACTGCAGTCCCAATATCTCAGACCGGTTATTAAATCTTGGTAACAGTATCACAGAATTTTTCAAATTCTAAATGAGCACAAAATCATGAACTTTGTGAAAGTACTGTAAGTCGCCATGTTTTTGCAAACCCCTGGGCTCTCCACGGGTGAGAGTTTGTGAGAATTGCGACGCAAAGCGGCCCTTCCTGCTCACGATTTAATGACGAATGTGATGTCCGAGTCAGTAAGTACAGGTTGTGCAGCAGATACTTCACCGCAGAAATGTTCCAGCGTGATCTTCATGCAGAGTTAACAAGTTTTATTTGTTGGCAAAACTAGACATTGAGAGAAATATTTGTATTGGATTAAAGAGACAAATTTGCCAGCCATTGTTTACAATGCTGCTTCACCTCACCAGAAGTATTGTTGCTTCGACCTGAATCTCAGAATATGGCTTTGCGCAGACCTGAAAATTATGTCTATTCTGTGATGTAAATTTCTACACATTACTGTGTACATTTTATTTTTATTGTGGTTTGAAATGCGTTCATCTATGCCAATTCTTCCTAACCACGAAATATGAAAATAACGTTGCAGTTCCCCTTTAAAAGTGTGTTGGGGTTAGAGAAAGGACATGTGAGCGAGAGACTGGGAGTGTGTTGTGTAAGAGAAAATGTGTGCCAGAGAGCACTTCAAATATGGGGACTATTCTGTGAAAATGTCCTCACAAAGGTACAGTAACCCCTGTCAAACAGACAATGTAGGGTTTTATAAACCAAAAGGCATCTTCTGTTAAACCTCAAAATGACGAAACGATTGCTGGGGTCAGCTTTCTCCCTGTAGAAGTTTCTATCTAGTGAAACCTGGACTGGTAAAGAACAGAGAGCCAATCAGTGCTCACGGATCCAGGAATCCAAGTGTGTGCGTGTGGGAGTTTCTGTCATTGTGTTCTCACCTGTGTCTGTAGTCCTACAGCCCTGCAATTGCTAATCCCCCCTCCCAGAAGGCAAACATCCTCATCTTTCTGACAGGCTGCCAGGAAGGAGTTCCTGGATAAGGCCTGCAACTATCAATGCAAGAAAACAAACGTAACAATACAGTAAGTCCTGCTCATGAGCTCAGCCAACAGGCTGAAAAGACCGTCGCTGCATGGCTCAGTGAACGGTTGGACAGCTGGGGGTGACTCAGGGGTCCAGTAACAGGGACATGCCTCCTTCTGGCGTGGTGTGTCTTAGTTGGTCGCTCTGCTGCAAGTTTCTGGAGCACCTGCAGTGCATGCTGGGAGGTGGCTGTCTCCTGCTTCACAAGCTGGAAAGTTTCCGGTTCATGAGAACCTGCGGGACACGCTGTGCCGCTCTGGCAGCAGGTGTGGTCCCAGTCTGGAAATCCTCCCTGGAGCACCCAGCATGCGCATCTTGGATTCCCCAAGTGGACACTTGTATGGCTTAATGGTTATTAAAAATCACAGAGCATTTCTCGAAAAGAGTAGGGGTGTTACCCTGGCATTCGGGCCACATTTCACTTTTATTTCGCTTGAATAGGAGCCATCATGGCCTCCTAATAACCCCCGTCTCTGAACTGGCCTCATCACCCTGCTCTCCTCCCCACTGAGAGCTGGTGTGTGGGGAGCGGACTGGAGCATCATCCAGGTGGGGCTGCACACTGGTGGGGGTGGAGGGGATCCCCATGACCTGCACTTTGCACTTTGAGTGGAGGGTAAGGACCTTATTATTATTAAAGGGAAAAGAGTGGATGGATTTTCCTTCTCTTGCTGGAAGGGTGAACTGTGCCCCCTGTGCAGTGAGGGGAGGCTGGCCTGCACGGGCCCAGCGGGTGGTCCTGCAGCGCTCACTGCCCTCCTCCGCACCGAAGAGACTGGGGCCTCCAGCCGGTGAGCTCAGGTAGGTAGCTTGTCCACACAGGGCGAGGCCGCGGAGAAGACACGCAGCAGAGACGGGTCAGGACGCTAGGGGACACTGGCAGTGTGGTAACAGGCTTGCTGTCGGGAGGTTTAAGAATTTCTGTCAGAAGCAAAGCAAATGACTGAGCTTCTTCATGCTCTGTCCTTCAGGTGACACATTAAAGTGACTCAGCAGCTGTGCTCCTTTCTTTGTGTTTGATTCAGTGCTACAGAGAGTGTCGGAGTGCACGCAGGGGTGAGAGTGTCAGGACGAGTCGGAGAGTCCAGGGGGTGAGAGTGTCGGGAAGAGAGTAGGGGGTGAGAGTCAAGAATGGGATTGTAGGGGGTGAGAGTAGGGGGTGTCAGTGAGAGTGTAGGGGGCGAGACTCGGTGGGGGTGAGTGTTGGTGTTGGAAAGAGTAGGGGGTGAGAGTAGGGAGTGTCGGTGAGAGTGTGTAGGAGGTGTTGGGAAGAGAGTGCAGGGGGTGAGTGTCGGTGAGAGGAAGTGTAGGGGATGAGAGCCTGAGTGTCAGCAGGGGGTGTCAGTGAGAGTAGGAAGTGAGAGTGTCGGGAAGAGTGAGTGTAGGGGGTGAGACTCGGGGAGAGCGTCTGTGTGGGATGGGTGTCGGTGAGAGTAGGAAGTGAGTGTCAAGTGAGATTGTAGGGGGTGAGAGTAGGGCGAGACTCGGGGCGAGTCGGGAAGAGTGAGTAGGAGTTAGATTCTGGGAGTGAGTGTTGAGTAGAGGGTGAGTATTGAGAACGGGGTGAGAATGTCGGTGAGAGTAGGGGTGAGTTGGGATGAGTTGGAGAGTAGGAGGTAAGTCAGGAAGAGTGCAGGGGGTGAGAGGAAGTGTAGGGGGTGAGACTTGGGGTGAGTTGGGAAGAGTGAGTAGGGGGTGAGTGTCGGGAAGAGTGAGTAGGGGTGAGACAGGGTGAGTATTGAGTAGGGGTTGAGAGTGTCGGGGTGAGCATGTCGGGAAGAGAATAGGGTGAGTGTCAGTGAGTAGGGAATGAGTTGGGATGAGTGTCAGAGTAGGGTGAGACTCGGGGTGAGTGTCAGGAAGAGTGAGTAGGTGTGACTCGGGGTGAGTGTTGATGAGTAGGGGGTGAGACTTAGGGTGAGTGAGTGTAGAAGGCAAAAGTCAGGAAGAGTAGGGGTGAGTGTTGGGAAGAGAATAGGGGGTGAGAAAGTGAGTAGGGGTGTGTTGGGATGAGTGTAGGAGGATAGGGGTGGGAAGAGGGTTGAGTGTCAGTGAGTAGGGGGTGGGAGTCGGGGCGAGTATCGGGAAGAGTAGGGAGTGTCAAGAAGAGATTGTAGGGGTTGAGTGTCAGGAAGAGTAGGGAGTGAGAGGTTGAGTGTCAGTGAGTAGGGGTGAGAGGAAGTGAGACGAGTAATTATCAGGAAGAGTGAGTGCACAGGGTGATGATGTCAGGAAGAAAGTGTAGGGGTGAGAGGAAGAGTATAAATAGGGGGGTGAGTGCCTCAGTGAGAGTGTCAGAAAGAGTTGGGGGTGACGGTGTGTCAGGAAGAGTAGGGTGAGACTGAGGGTGTCTGGAAAAGTGAGTGTCCGAGTAGGGAGTGAGTGTTGGAGTGTGTAGGAGGTAAGTGTCAGGAAGAGAGTACAGGGGGTGAGTCAGTGGGTGTGAGTGTCGAAAGTGTAGGGGGTGAGAGGAAGAATGTGAGTGTGGGGGGGGAAGAGTGTGGGGGGTGATGGTGGGTCAGGAAGAGTGAATGGTGGGAGAGTTTAGTGAAATAGTGAAGGAAGTGAGTATCAGGAAGAGGGGTGAGTGCCAAGAAAGTGTGTAGGGGTGTTGGGAAAATGAGTATGGGGTGAGAGTCCAGAAGAGTGAGACTAGGGAGTGATTGTCAGGAAAAGTGAGAGTGTGCAGGGGGTGAGGGTGTCGGGAAGAGTGAGAATAGGGAGTGTCAGGAAGAGAGTGAAGAAGAGTGAGAGAGTGGTGGGTGAGAGTGTCAGGAAGAGTGAGTGTAGGGTGAAGTGTCGAGAAGAGTGAGAGTGTAGGGGGAAGAGTGCATCGGGAAGAGTGAGCACAGGGCATGAGAGTATCAGGGAAAATGAGAGTGAGTGGGGGTGAGAGTTTGTCAAGTGAGTGCAGGTGGGAAGTGTGTAAGGAAGAGTGTTGGGAGTGAAGGAAGTGAGTCTCACGAAGAGTGTGTAGGGGGTGAGAGTGTCAGGAGGAGTGCGCACAGGGGCTGTGACTTACTCAGGCGGTTACACACTTCCATGCAGTACTCCTCAGTGTCGAAGTTGTTGCGATTGCCAGCACAGCCGCCGTACACGAAGCGCAAACACCTCCTCTGCCTGATGTCGAAGTGCCAGCGCGGCATGGAGGCGCGGCACGGGCCCGTCTCGGGGGCAAGGGAGCACACCGCTGCCGGGGCGGGACAGGGTTAGAGCACACTGCCACAGGGGGCGCCGGCGAGCAGCCAGCCCTCACTGACTGGCGGTACTGTGTACTCCGAGCAGCAGTGGTGATGGAGATGATTATTATAATAACATAATCAACACATGCTGTATATGTAATGATAATAATAATAATAATAGAAAATCAAAACAAATACAATAATAAAAAACAAACTCAAAGCTGTCCTGGAACAGAATAAAAGCCTATCAAGAGTGGAACAGTGGTAGACTTACCTTTGACCTCCTGGAAGGTCCGGTCAAGGTCGGGTCTGCCCTGTGTGCTCTCGGTGTCCTTCTGCTCCTCCTCCTCTTCCTCGTCTCTGTCCCCCTCCTCATCCTCGTACACGTAGTCCAGCTCTTCTTCATCCTCCTCGTCCTCCTCCTCATCCTCCTGTGCCTCCACGCCTCCCTGCTGCGAGGGCTCCTCTGGGGGCGCCACGCTGAGAGGGGGGTCAGGGAGAGGGAGAGGCGTCAGGCAGGTATGTCTCCTGCAGGTCTATTCCAGCACTGTCGGCGTCCGGAGCCACGCAGCTCAGCGACAGCTCAGTTTGCTGGCTAGTGACTCAACATTACAAGCACTGTTCCGAGGAATCTGACCGTGTCTGTGAAGCACTTGTCCCAGTGTTTGACACACCTCTCAACGATGTCTTCATCCTCCTCCTCTTCCTCCACGTCCACATCGTCTATCTCCTCCTCCTCGTCCTCCTCCTCCTGGGAGAGAGGGGAGCTGGGGGCGGGCTCGCCCGGGTGGGCCGTGGGGCAGCAGACGTACTCGGTGCCATGGAAGCGGTCGATGCCGCAGGGCAGGAGCATGCCGTATGTGTGCAGCACCATGCCACCCTTGGAGCAGGCCTGCGGGCAGGAGGGGTGTGAGGTCACAGTAAAGCACACCCTGATCCCAGCGGCCAGGGCCTGTACCCCGTGTCTCCCCTCGAGAGCCTCCCCCTCAAGGCACAAGGCATGTTGTATATCCATATCCACAGGACCCCACAGTGCCCCTGAGAGTACCCCAGTGTCCCATACTGTCCCTGAGAGCACCCCTGTGTCCCACACTGTCCCCAAGAGTACCCCAGTGTCCCATACTGTCCCTGAGAACCCGTGTCCCACACTGTCCCTGAGAAAACCCGTGTCCTACAGTGCCCCAAGTTGTCCCTAAGAGTATCCCAGTGTCCCAGTCCCCCCACAGAGTACCCCAGTGTCCTACAGTACCCCATGCTGTCCCTGAGTACCCCGGTGTTCCACACTGTCCCTGAAAGTATCCCAGTGTCCCATAGTGTTCCCGAGAGAACCCCACAGTGTCCCACACTATCTCTGAGAGAACCCCCACAGTGCCCCACACTGTCCCTGAGAGTACCCCAGTGTCCTAGTGCCCCAAGTTGTCCCTATGAGTACCCCACAGTGTCCCACAGTCCCCCCACAGAGTACCCCAGTGTCCTACAGTGCCCCATGCTGTCCCCGAGTACCCCAGTGTCCCACACTGTCCGAGAGAACCCCACAGTGCCCGACTGTCCCTGTTAGTACCCCAGTGTCCCATACTGTCCCTGAGAACCCGTGTCCCACACTGTCCCTGAAAAAACCCGTGTCCTACTGTGCCCCAAGTTGTCCTTAAGAGTACCCCAGTGTCCCACAGTCCCCCCACAGAGTACCCCAGTGTCCTACAGTGCCCCATGCTGTCCCCGAGTACCCCAGTGTCCCACACTGTCCCAGAGAGTACCCACAGTGCCCCCACACTGTCCCTGAGAGTACCCCAGTGTCCTAGTGCCCCAAGTTGTCCCTAAGAGTACCCCACAGTGTCCCACAGTCCCCCCACAGAGTACCCCAGTGTCCTACAGTGTCCCACACTGTCCCAGAGAGTACCCACAGTGCCCCCACACTGTCCCTGAGAGTACCCCAGTGTCCTAGTGCCCCAAGTTGTCCCTAAGAGTACCCCACAGTGTCCCACAGTCCCCCCACAGAGTACCCCAGTGTCCCACACTGTCCCTGAGAGAACCCCAGTGTCCTAGTGCCCCAAACTGTCCCTGAGCGTACCCCACATTGTCCCTGAGACTACCCCAGTGTCCTACAGTGTCCCTGAGAGAACCCTAGTGTCCTACAGTGCTCCAAGCTGTCGCTGGGAGTACCCCACAGTTCCTCTACACTGTGATAAAAGTGCCCAACAGTATCCCACAGTGCCCTACCTCCTTGGCCACGCTGTGCCACTGCCGGTGGCTGACACATATGTCCATTCGCTCCTTGTGGAAGAACTTGCACTTCTCAGGCACCAGCAGCACATCACTCACGAATTCGCCCACTGCAACAACAACCACCGCGCTATCACCATTAGTTCACTCCCCCAGTGCCATCGCCGTTAGCTCACTCTCAGTGCTATCACCAGTAGCCCACTCCCCCTGTGCCATCGCCGTAAGCTCACCCCCCCAGTGCTACGCCCCTGGCAGGCCATCAGTGAGGTGGAGCCCTGTACAGCACTCTGATGCACTTGTGAACGTCACCCTTCTGACCGGACTGACCCCCAGGAGCAGTTAACCAGGCCCACAGGTCTGGGCAGTGGGAGGGAAATGGAGCAAGCTCCCCTCCGCAGGACAGAGTCGAACCCGAGTCCACAGGCTGCGGGGCTGTAACCCCGAGTACCGTGGACAGGCTGATCCCTGCGACATGTCTCTCCAGGCTCCAGAGGCAAGCGGCTCTCCTGGGCCACTTTCACAAATATTTTTTCTTTTAAAAAAAGCTTTATTTACTTCTGTCTCGCCCACAGATTGTAATTACAGGTCAGGACACATTAAACCACAGCTTCTTTTTAAAGAAGGAGGGCGGAACAGAGAGAGAGAGAAGAGGACAGATAGACAGGGGGGAGGAAAAGGAATGAATGAGAAAAATGCAAGAAGATAACCGAGAGGATTCGGAAGCTCTTCCCCAGTATTGTTTGCCACAGCTGCCGGAGCTGGAGCAGCTCTGAGTCCTGTGGGGGGGAGGGGAGAGGAAATTCAACAGAGCTGCAGCCCAGCGTGTGATCTGTCACAGCCGGGGGGACCAAGCAAGCCCCTCCAAGGCTAGGTCAATAATACAGTCATTGTTCTCCGCCTCTGTCAGCGTTTACTAATTGTTATTGCTTTGGCAACACTGTATCACCACACAGCCCTGTGAAAGTGAATTCTAAAGGAGAGAGTTTCACATTTCCAGCCCGGCGAGACACCAGGCACATCCTGGGGCCTGTCTGTGGAGAAAGAGAGAGCCCTGTTTAGATCTGAGAAATGACAGGGCAGAGAACACGGGGATCTTTAAATAGCAGCGAAAACAGAGTTCCTCCGCACCGCAGGGCAGGCCGGCCAGTGTGCAGCATAATATTTCTGTTGTGTCCCGTGAAACCCGCACCGCTGTGCAACAACACGATCTCTGAAATGGGTCTTAATAAGTGCTGGCAAGCGAGGCGGGGGCTGAGGCGGTCTGCTTTTGACATCTGAGGAGCCCATTAAAAGCTGAAATATAGCGTGCAACACTGACATTGAGCAGGGGCAGGTTTAAGAAGCAGTTCCTGTTTCGATTGCTCAGTTGGAAACTCGGATCACAGGCAACTGATTACCAACCTGCATTAAAATAGTTTTTAAGGGGGGGGGGGGGTTGCGCTGCACAGCTTGTTCCAAACCCCCACAACCCTTTGTGTAAAGGGCTTCTGTATTTTAGTCTTAAATGTACTTCTTAGTCTCCATAAGTTTATACACTTACAAAACTTCTTCCAGTCAGAAGACTGTTACTGTTACTATCTCTCCAATTAGCCAAGGTCATTTAATCGACTGTGCTGATGGTGTGTCACTCATCACAGACACCCGAGCTGCTGCCTCGGAAACATGGACACAGAGGTGAACTAAATATACTGAGCCTTCTCCAATACCATTCAGGGTACAAAGAGGAGAGGGCTAAAAAGTATAAATGCTTGTGGTCAGATGGGAGATCTCTTTCCTGTGACTCTTGTGTGTCTCAGCACTGGGCAGACAGTGTCTCTAACCCCTGGGGGGGGGGGGGTGGACAGGCAGCAGATCAGCCATGGACTCTATTCAGAAATCTTGTGCCTGGAGGAGCCTTCCAGCCCTCCAGACAGGGTACAGACAGCACCCCCCTGCCCGTCTGAGGGTCACCCCTCCCCCTTGGCTACACCACTGTCCTCACACCCCCTCCCCTCCACCTGGGAGCGCAGTGTGGCCCTCTTCCACAAGCGGCCTGTCTGTGGGGAGTCTGTATGTTCCCCCTGTAGGTGCGCAGTCTTTGCCGACTGTTCGTGGAGAGCAGACTCGTGCTCCCGGTCCTGCCTGCCCCCTGTGCTTCTGGGAAAGGCTCTGGATTGTCCTGCTAGCACCAGGGTGAAACCTGAGAACCTCTCCTGCTGCTTAGACATGTCTGTCAGTCAGCGCGTGCTCCCAGATCTTCCTACAGGTGAGTCACTCATCTGTAAAGGATGAGTTTCTTGTCAGGCCCCTGTGCTAATCTTCCACCCCGGCCACTTGCGTAACAGCCCTCTTCTCCCCCCTCCGCTAATCTCAGATAATCCACTGCTTCCGCAGGGACAAGAGGCCTGGAATGCCGGGGGGATTTACAGCCGGCCCGACTCGGGGCTCCAGTGCCCACTTTTCCCATAACACTGTGACGGCTGTTGGGAGTGACTGCTGTGGTGTCTAAGAACCTGGCTCAGGTAAAAGTTTGAAGATCTCTCCGCTAATTATTTACAGACACTGCGGAAAGGAAGCCCCTGCTTAGCCCTGCTTGATTCGGTTCTGGGTAAATGCTCGAGTGTCAAGCAGCAGTCCAGGAACACAGCGCAAAGCAGGCCGGTCCAGAGAAGGAGGGGGGCCCACGGGAAGAGGCAGAAGGAGCAGAAAGGGAAAGGGAGGACACGGAGAGAGAGGAGGAAGTGCCAGGCAGGAGCTCCTTGTCCAGATCGTCCAGAAAGACCAGACTGGAGCTCAGCATTCGAACCCTGATAGAACCCGAGAGAGCTCGCCATTCTGTTAGGAAACTGATTTCCTGCATGGAGAATCCCTCTATTAAACTCAGCCTCTTCTGGTTAGTGGGTGTGTTTTTAGAATAGGGAGATAGGTTCTCATTCACTTAGGTTACATCTAATTTTACAGAGAGATTTAACTGGAGGTTGTATTCTGTTGATTCAGAGCTGGTTTCTCTCTTGTTGGCCTGTGTAGATGTTAACAGAAGTTTGAGTATTTGGTAGCAGTCTGGAGTTTTTCTGGTTGGTCAGGATGTAGGCCTCTATTTATTTTATTGTCTGTAAATATCGTGTCTTGTATGTTATTATGTTTATGTTGCGTGTTGCTTAGTGTGTCATTGTCATTGTTCGTATTTGTTTGCCCCGGTGTGCTTGACATCCTAGTGGTGATCTTAATCCTGCACGGGCCTCTGGGAGTGAGCAACACTGACAGGTTACGAGCGCTCAGGTCTTCAGAAATAGAAATTGTTCTGGCTCGCTGGTGTAAATGATTTAAGAGACGCCATGATGCTCAGTTAGCGGAAGAGCCGAGCGCAGTGGAGTGATCCACAGCTCGTCACGCACAGGGGCAGCTCTCTGGCCCTCGCTGCTCCACACAGCTGCCTCAGACAAGACTCAGACTAAACCAGCCAGACTGCACCACCACCTCTCTCCTGTCTCCGCCCCAGTCCCTTCTCTCCCTGTCCAATTCAGATTCAGACAGCAGGCCCGATGTCAGACCCTCAGTCTCTGTCCTCTCTTGGTGTCTCCGTCACGCCCCGCCATTATAATCCCATCGTTCTCCGGCCTCCGGCCTCACTGGAGGAATCGATCTCGCCTCCCTGCGGACTCCCTGAAAATACGAATGGCACAATCTGTCTTGCACAGAAAGCTGTGGGAAGCCATCCTTGCAACACTGCCCACTTACAGCCTCTTCAATCTGTGTCTGATGCAGAGGGGCTGGCGGAGGCTTGAGGGGTCCAGCAGCCTGAAATACACAGCTAATGTATTTCATTAATCTCAGATAATCCACTCCAGCTAATCACTCCAGCTCTGGCCTCACTGCCCTGGGAGCGGGAGGGAGTGGGAGAGAGCTCCGTGTGGCGTGTGGCGTGTGGCGTGTGGCGTGTGTTACTGTCCTAAGAGGTGTCAGGACTGTCCGTGTCTGTAGGTGCTTTGGCAACACTGTAGTTGGTCGGTCACGCCAGTAAGGCTGCTTGAATCTGAACTGGGGTGAGCGGGGGGCAGGGCAGTGAGACGGGTGCAGAGGGAGAGAGAGACGCAGGGGCAGGCGGAGGGA